CACGTTTTTGGAGTACCAGCAAGGATGCATTTTTTTTGTTGGATAGGGCTGCAACAAACGTTTATTTTGGTAATCGATTAATCTATCGATTATTAAACCGATTAATCGATTAGTCATCGATTATTTCAATGATTAATCAGTAGCCTTTGAGCGATTATTCTGCTTTTTCAACTAGTTCAAATAATGAGTTACAAATATTCTAACTAATAAATAAAATAAGAAAATCACTTCAGCTTTTGAAATAGGTGTTTTCTTTAAGTTTTCTGATTCTGTTACACTCAAATTACACACAAATGCTCTCTAAGCATTGTTTGCATGTTTTGTTCTAATTTAATAGAAAAATAAATAATCAGCTGCATTACAGACAAAGAGAAAGTTGAATGTGAACATATCTTAACAGCAGCATTAATTGTTGGTTTACCACTCGTTTTAGTTCATCAAAAGTAATATCCCAGGGAAATACACAGTTATGAAACTAGATATTTGGAGGGTGATAATCTAATAATTCTTAGAAAATCTGGCAACATTTAAAAATTTAAGAAACAAATAAAGATAAGTTTAGAATCAGCATAAGATAATGAATGGTGTGAGAAAGAAATGCTTTGTTGTACTTGCATGTATTGCACACGACAGCATTTTTGGTTAAGTTTAGTAAAACTTTCCCACACTTTACTCGTTCGGATTCGTTTCACTCCGTCATAATTCGCGCTGAGTTTTCTTCTACTGGAGTAGCATTTGGGAGGATTGCATCACACTCTAGCGCTACAGCGCTGTAGCGCTCAAATCGCGACACGTGACCCTTACATTAGGTCACATGACATCAAACGACTACTCGACAACAGAAATATTTGTCAACAATTTTTTATTTAAATCGTTTCAGCCCTATTGTTGGACTGTTACAAGTACAATAGTACCCCGAGATACGAATGCTTAGAGTTACGAAATGTTAGAGATATGAGAAGCATACGCAGGAAATTTTTTGCTTTGAGATGCAAAGAAAAATTCAAGATACAAACATGTACAAGCTGCTCTGCAGTATTTTCCGCTTGTTTGTATTACGTCGCGTTGCGCTTCCGGGTTCTGGCCAGGTTCCCAGTGCAATACGGGTCTGATGCGCTTCAAAACACTTAAACAACACAGCGAAACATTATGTATAGATTACTAATAATGTGCTATAACAAATGTCGGAGTCAAGGCGTCGTAAAAGAAATAATGTTTATAACGTGGAAAGTGCTCTTCTGTAGTACAACTTAGAGAAACACAGTCACGATCTCTCCAGTACGCTCCCTACTGCCTCCATTTGTGGTTGAAACCGTGTTGCTGTTAGTAATTTGTGAAATATCTCGAGAAAGTTAACTTTCATACGTAGTGTCGTAATGTTTTCTGCCATCCGTTCCACCTCCTCCGACACATCACCTCACTCAAGGTAAGGTTTCACATTTGTGAACACATTATGTATTTTGCTTGTGTTTTATTATCATTTATTACATTAACAATGTGTAGATTTAAGGACTGAAGAAACGTTACTTGAATTTTCTCTAATTTTCAGTTTTTTTTTTATCTACGTATACTGCTGTTTCTGAGAGCCGTTGCATGGTTTAGGCGTTTTACATGTAAAACTTGCTTCTAGATACGAAATGTTCGAGATACAAACGTCACCTTGGAATGGATTAATTTCGTATCTCAGGGTATAATGGTATGACACTCGATGATTCAGTGGCTGAAACTTCCTAAAAGGTATGCATCGCTATTTTGATTTGTTAGGACTCTTTACACAAATTGACTAACTGTCGTCACTGTGGCGTGTTAAATCTATAATGCTTTATAACGCCTGAATCACGAGAAGTTCAGCTTTTAGATGATATATAGTTGGTCAAACTTTATTTAGAAATGGAGGGTGTAATTATGCGATCTTTCTGTAAGTTTTGATTCACGGCCCTTCACACCTGAGATCAATTTTAGTATGTTATTTCATCAATTTTAAAATAAGGCTATAACATTAAAAATGTGGAAAATGGCAGTGTTTTGAGATGCACTGAAGTATACACACAATGGAGCTTTTGTTGTCCCCAGCAGGCGCCATATGTCCTCGAGACCACCCACTCCGGAAATAATCCTCATTCTGCGCAGAAAAGCGATCAGGAACATCAGGATCTGATTTGAACCGGCAGTGTTTCCTGTCAACTTCACCTGAGTCCAAGTGAATCAAACAAAAATGTAAAAAAAAAAAAATCAGAAAGACTTGGTGTCACTAGTAACACTTAGGTAGAGTTACCACATAGAGTTACCTTCGTAGAGGTTATGGTGAACCTGACAGTAGTTTATGTGCGTACGGCCGCAATACCACTCCACAAACACCAGAGAGCAGTAATTCTCTGTGTGGACTACAGTAATAACTCACACTTTCATTTTCCGCTTTAGATTCGAATAATTATCTCCAACTGATGATCTTTGAACTCCTTTTAACCACTCAGTTATTAATTTCACATCAGTGTTTGCTGTGCCCATGAGTGTCAGGCTCTCTCTGTTGGATAGCACACGTGACTTCATAAATACATAGAGGAGTAGTTATAACGAGGAACCGAAAAACCGCGGTTCACAAAGACATACTGAAACGATGAGGGTTTACAAAACGGTTCGGTAAAAAAACGAGTATTGGGGGCATCTCTAGTTATAATATAAAAAAAAAGCCCTTCTCTTAATGGAGCAACTTTCTTTTTTTTTTATACCGGTAAATATTTGGCACCACTTTATCAGGAAGTGACAATTTTGTGCTCTTGGACTCGTCGGATGGAAACGGTGCATTAAACATTTTTTTTATAATCCAATTTTTGACTATTGATAGTAACTCATCGCTTTGTATGAAAGCGTGACAAATACTGTAAATACAGTAAGCAGGATATGTACATGAGCAACAATGGAGGCTTCATTCCAAGTGTGTCTCACCTGGCTGGCGGAGTGAATCCAAACCGCAGCAATCGCCCAAATGGTGCTGGCTGCAAAGTGATTTCCAGCCAATGCAAGCCAATGAGAAAAGGCCAAACTTTAAAAATAATTTCCTCAATGGCAGCCTTCAGTCCTCATCAGAAACTACCTCATTGTAGGGGACTGCAGCCATGTTTCCATTCAAAGCATGGATTAAATTATAGCGTGAAACGGGAATATCGCATGAGATATTTGTTGATAAAGCACTGTTTCCATACAACGAGAGAATCCAAGAGAACAGAATCATCACTTGCTGATAAAATGGCGCCAAATATCAAAAGAAAATTAGGAGAAGGCTTTTTTCATATATAAGAATTTACTTGAACACATAGATGAACTGCAATATGCGCAGTCATTTCACCTTGGTTTTGGAGGCGGGAGACTGATCTTTGGGAATGCCGCTGGTCAAGAAAGTTCTTGGAGGTGATGATCCTTAACCACTTTGATTTGGATAAGGAGTTTTAAAATGATCAAAACAACATTTCAGTTAATGCAATAAAATCGGTTTGCCCATTAATGCTGTCCCATTGTCCCCCAGTTCTGACAGCTGTTGCGTTGGGATTTATCTGATAAATGAGTTTCCATCAAAGTTTACTCATAATTTTTTTTTATTATCTGATAAGTTTATTCTACTCAGTTGTGCGCATCGTTTTCTAACGCACATTTTCAAAAAGTATGCACATCATATAGTTTGCCTTCAGGGTTTTTTTTTTATGAAATATTCCAAAATGTGCATAAAAAAGCTGGATGGAAATGCAGCTTGTGTCTAACAGAGAAGCTCTGTCTTAAGTTATGCATCATGTTGAAGGTGTCTTTTTCTTCTTTTCCTTTCGGCTGTTCCCAGTTTATGGGTCGCCACAGTGAATCATCCATTTCCACCTAACTCGGTCTTTATGTTGTAGGTTTCTAGGTCTAAAAAAGCTGCATCATACGCTGTGTGTAGCATCAATGGAGAAATATGAATTGGCCTTAATTCAGGAAACCCTGCTCACCCAGTAATCGTTGAGCAGAGAGATGCTCAGCCACCCATCGAGGAGTCCGTCTTGCCTGATCGTACGAAAGCACATGATTGTGATAGAAACGGGTGTCTGCACCACTCTGAGGGAAACCAAAGCGACCAATCAGACGCTGGATTGAGGAGAGGTCTGCATTCTCTAGGAATAACAAAACAGAAACCATAGTGATATAATTATAAATTATACATAAATGATAAAGTCACCAATCTGTTCACTGTGCTTTTGCTTTCATGCAGTTTAACGTGTCTGAGATCAACCTGAAACAATCTCAAAGACTCAAAACAAAAGTACTGTAGGCATTTTATTAATTTGGTTTAATTCCTGATCGATAAGAAATGCAGAACTGAACTGAACTGATTTTTGAAGTGAGTTCAAATAAAATCACTTTAAATAATGTTCTCAGATTGTTAAAATAATGTAATGTTAGCTTAATAAAAGAGAAACGTTAATATCACCTTTGACGTTCTTCTGCTCTTCAAACGTGTAGAATTTAAACGCTGCTATACCGGAACCGGCACCAAACACAAACCCGCTGATGAACCGAATCGACATCATCGTTTCATATTAAATTCTCAACACACATTAAAGCTAAATTAACCATTTTCATACCAGATAAATACAAAACAGTCGTAGACACGTGTTACCTCTGTTTGTGCGAACCGCGCATGCGCATTACGCAACTACAGTAGCCTGCAACAGCGGCCACTAGCGGGAAAAAGAACCACTACAAATCAACTGCGAGAACACCATTTTCACGCCAGAGCCATTTGGAAAACAATGCAATGTAAAGCAAAATAACAAAAATAATAACCTAAATAGACACTTTTTTTTAAAGTCTATATAATATAAACGACTAAGGACTATAAACGGAAAACATTACAAAGAAATTTGTTACACACATGCATGGAAAAACGCGTTATGTGCATGGATTTCGCACCAACACGTGCCCCTCCCGGCGCCCCACGGATGCCAATGGAAAGTTTGCTCAAAAAAGTTTTAGCTTTCGTCATGGTTCAGTTGGTAGAGCATTGTGCGAACAAAGCAAAGGTTGTGGGCTCAAATCCCAGGGAAAGCCAGAAAATCAATTCTTTCAAATGTAAATCGCTTTTGATAAAAGCATCTGCTAAATGCAATGGAACAAAAATGACAAAGGTACAATGATGCTTAATCAATTTTTTATTGTTTACTGTGATATGCAAAACATGATCAAAATGAAATATTTCTAGTTTATTCTTTTCTAAATGTTCCTCAGGGTGTGTATGTCTTTTACTACATTCATTCAGTCACTGGGTCAATGAAACAAACACACCCTGAGTCAGGCTACAGCCTACAATACACAAAAATCAATTAAATATGAGATAAAATAATCAGAAATAAGAAAATCCACAGCAGAAAAGAAAGATATGTACAGGTCAAAAACCAAGACCAACCCAAATGAGGCTCTGCTCCACACTGACAAAAGAGGTCTAGAACCAGCCGTTCCAGTTTCACCGTCCAATCATTGCTTTACAGGACAGACAGAAGTGGTCCAAGCAAAGCATAAAAAAGTAGAAAGGAGATGGCACAGAGGCTCCGGACACCAATTAATCAGCTGACAAAATGCATCGTTATCGTGTAAAGAAATAAAGCAGCACAAAAGAGAAGTTATATAATAAAAACATGTATGAATAAAATCAATCGCATAAATTATACTGAGAATAAACCCCATAAAAGGCAGACTTTTGCATTACATTTCTGAAAGCAGAGGTTATACTGGGATTTTGCTTCACATTCACAAAACTGAGAAGAAAACAAAATGTGTGCCACAACTTAAAACAAGATAAATGAAAGTAACGCTCTGACACCACTCCATAACTCTATACAGATCTATTTACAGCTCCGTACGGCCCTTTTTAACACATTTACGTCTAGAAAAAAAAATCCTCCTAATAAAATAAAAAATATATGTGCTACAGCTCAACACAACTAACAAAATATTAAGAGAAGTCAGAGGCATAGAAAAATCTGAGGTATTTCTGGTCTGAGGTGACTGTGGTTCCACTTGTTTGTCCATTTGCAAAGATTTATTGATTCCTGGAAGCCTTAAATATAATCGAGCTTCATAAATGAAAATTTCAGCATTGCAGGCATTGGACAAAGAAACTGAAACACTGTTACAAAGTGTAGCTGTAATGATAACATCAGAGTTCTCCTGAACGATTGGGCTCTAGACCAAGCCGATGGATAGTTGCGATCTAAAACCAGATGTTTCAGTTTAAATGTCCAACACCTGTGTTTTCAGCAAACATTTTCAGCACATTTGATCCAGGCAGCAGCTACATGTGAGGAAACTCAACCTTCATGATTTCATGGCGGGTCAATCGGTGGCTTTCACGTCATGACTATATAAATAAAAATATCTTGCACATATTTTAACTCTTTCCAGTTACAAGTCCAGTTTATACCTAAAGGTGGATCTGGTTTCAGATTTGGTCCCAGGCAGAGAGAAACAAAAAGAAAAATTAAAAGGGGACCAAAGAAAAACCAACACTTCACCAAATAAAACCTGCACATGTTTCTACCTCAAGATTTTGCATTCAAATGTGTTGTATTCTTCAATAATTTCCATTTAAATAAACTGCCATCCCCCATGCTCCGATAAAAACAGAGTACTTTCGCATTATTTAATGTGCAAACAATTTTACAGAGAAGGTGAGAAGTGTCCATGTGAAATTGGGAAGTGCATTTGAGCAGTATTTTACTCTGTTGGTGACCAGAGTGGGACTTTTTGAAGGAAAGAGAAGCACATCGACAAGGTTGGTCATGCAATAATATTTTATTAGTAAATACATGTATATTTAGCGCTATTGCAGGTTTAATATACTGTATGCACGTTCTCTCTGGGTGCTCCAGTGGTGATGTTTGGTACTGCGTCTAAATTGTCAGCTAATGTTTGAGAGTTCAAGATGAAGTTTTTGATTTCATGACAGTCCTGTATTTGCACCTTGTTTCACATAAAATCTTTTTTTATTTCTTTATTATTTGTGTATCTATGTATTTGACTGAAAGAAGTCACTAGACCTGATCCAGAGGAGTCACCTGATGAGACGGAACTATCGATTCCTTGCAGGGCTATTTTATTACATACATGATCTATTAATACATTTTTTTTCCATTTTGAATAATTTTTCTGCATTAAATTTGAATACTGTATCAAATTGGACTGGATATAAATTTTTGAATTTTTTTGTGTTAAAGTTAACACCACAAACTATTCCATTCTAAATTCTGTACCATGTTGGGAAATATTATGCTAAACTTACAAAAATGCTTCAATCACTTCCACACCACTGGCTCAACCATAGCAACCACGTATGTCTTACTACTAGAAACGTTTTTAACGAGTTTTACAAATACACTGGCGTTTATAGGATTTAATTGAAAAAAAAAAAAAAAAACACTGGGCTTGAGGCGAAAGGAAAGGTCCGCCTAAAAGCTATAAATGACCAGGTCACCAGGAAGTGTTTCATCTGCTAATTCGCTAAGGGGGAGCGGTTTCGAAACGTGCCTTGAGTAAAGCAGTTATCAGTTCCAGATGTATCTGTAATGTGTTATTCGTGGATTTATTTTGTAAATATTTGGACTTCAAGCCCTCCTGTCTTCTCTGGAAAATATTATTAATATTCCCTTCACTTGCCGTAAAAATTGGTAAAATTTGGCACAATAAATTTATAAATATAATCAATAATTTTGGTCTTAATAACGTTGGATTTTGGTTTTGGCAGACTTGAAAGAAAGTGTGACTCAAACCAGTAGGTTTTTGACAATGAAAGTGAAACACTGCTCAGTATAGAACACATCTTTGATGATGTCGGGCATTTAATATTCACTATTGTGAGTGAGAAGCAAGTCCGGAAACTCTAAACTAAAACAGCTGTTTCAGTTTCATTGTCAATTATGTTCAAACCTTTAAAAAAAACATAATCTGGAATTTTCTTTTCATTTTGAGGTAAACACATGAGCAAGAATTTCAGTACAAAAAAAACCACTCCATTATTGCAATAGAAACTCAACAGTAAAAAAAAAAAAAAACTTTCAGGGCAGCGTTCTGCTTCGATGCTGACGCGGAAAGGCAGTCAAACCATTTTATACTAAATACCTGAGAAAAATAGCCAAACCAAACTAAACCTTTCGATATTTTCAGTTGTTTAAAAGAAAACAACCACGATGCAGATAAAATACACAAAAGATCCAACTATTTGAGGATAGAAACTCTCAACACCAAATAAAATGTAGTGGATCCCCACCTCAAATAATATCCCTATCAAATCAAATCCCACTCTCATGTGAAAATAACCAGCTTGAGTTTATAAGCGTAACACAAAATGACAAATCTGAGGAGATAAACCAGTCCAGTTCCTGTTTGCGCCTTTAACACCCGTTAGCTCCGAAAAAAATCTGAAAAATCCAGGTTTGTTGAGTGTAACAGTCGTTGAGATCCTCGTCGGTTTGCAGCAATGCCAAGTTTCACAGATTTGTTTCAAAGGTATTCCGAAGTAAAGGTAGCATGATTAATATAATAAATATCTGAGTCTGAAAACTTCTTGTTTTCAAATGCCCATTCATGGGAAATGCATAAAAATTAACCTGAACGGTACAAACCATTTTTTTCCTCCATTTCGCTAATGTTGACCGTAGCTACAACTACAAAGAGATGAATTCATGTCACAGTTGCTCTCATAAGTTTAAACACCCTAGAAAAAAATGTTTTTTCTTGGCCATTTTTCAAAATATTTGAATGATGACACAAAATCATTTTCTCAACTCACAGTTAGTGGTTGGGGAAGCCATTTATAGTCAAACTACTGTGTTTACTCTCTTTAAATCATAATGACAACAATAAAAACGATCCTGAGCAAAAGTTTATTGGCGAACATTCACAAAAGACGGACAAAAAAAGGGTTTGAGCAGCTGGTAAAGGTAACCATCCTCACCTTTACTTGTTCGCTTATAATCAATCTTTGTGCATAAAAAGGTTTTGGGCTCCTGATAAACCATTGCCTCTGTGATCCAGTGACGCTCTGACATTCTGAGTGATGGGGAGTTATGAAAGGATCTACTGGGAAACGTATTTAGAGGGATAAAAAAAGATATCAAAGGAACTGGGAATGCCAGGGATTAAGGAACTGGGATTAATAGCTGGAAAATGATGGATTCTGACACCAACAATACTTTATGCTACAACTGCCAGAAAAATTGTAAGGGATTCAAAGAAAAACCCACAGATAACTTCAGGCTCTCAAAAAAATGTGGTGTGGGTGTTACAAGAAGCACAAAAAGAAGCACTTGCCAGAAGAAAGCCATTACTAAAAAAAGGCCTCAAAGTGTACCACTTACAATACAACAAAGAGCTCGGAGACAAACCTCCGAACTTCTGGAACAAAGTTTTCTGGAGCAATGAAACCCAAAATTGAACTTTTTGGCCACAACCGTAAACTCTACATTTGGAGAGGAGTCGACACTAATGGAACACTATCCACACTGTGAAATAATGGAGGTGGGTCACTGATGTTTTGCAGATGAGCTCCGAAAACGAAATTGATCGGACGATAAAGACATTCCAACATGACAGTGATCTAAAACACGAGGTCAAGTCCGCTTGTAGTAGGTTCCACCAGAATAAAGTGAAGGAGCGTATCTAAGCCTCCAGATCTCAACATCACTGAACCACTTTGGGGAGAACTTAAACAAGCAGTTCATGCAAGACAACCTTAGAATTGACAAGACTGGGATGCGTTACCAACAGAGAAGATAAAGAACCTCATTGACAACTACCTCAAGAGATTTCAAGCTGACATTGATGTTGAGGAGAGAATACAAAATAGTAACTGAGGTGTGTGAACCTTTGATCAGGGTCATTTGGAAAGTTTCTGTTGTCATTCTGATTTAAAAAGAGTAAACACAGTTGATTGAAACCCTAAAGTTGAGAAGAAAAAATGCATTTGCGTGATCGTTCATATTTTAAGAAAAAAATGGCTAGAAAATCAGAAGGTATGTAAACTTATGAGTACAACTGTACATCAAACGTTAAAAATC